ATTTTTTCTATTTTGGTATTGTTTAATAAAAAAAAAAAACTTTTCTTGGAAATTTTATTCTCATATTTCCTGACTTCATATGTTTAGGTTGGCAACACTACATGCCAAATATAGAAATCTTCTATTATTTTTTATTGCGAATGACAGTTACATGGCCATCAGTTAGCCAGTGTCACCAACCTCCGATAAGTAAAAAAGGAGTGTCACAAAGAGCTTCTTTTCGAAACTACTTTCAGTGTCGAAAAGACTTCGATATGACACCAAAATAGAAAAAATTAATTTTCCTACGAGCGTGCGCAAAGTAGTACTTTTCCGCACGCATTTCCGGGCTCAAAGTTACACTTTTCCGCACTCAGTGCGGATACAGGCCTTATCCGCACTGAGTGCCGAAAAGTAATTATAATTGTCAAGCAACAATAAGTGCACCTGTCGACTTTGACACATGATGACAAATTTTTCCTCTATTTCTATATCAGCCAACATCTATACAAACACCAATTATAAATTAACTTTGACACATCAGATTTGTTCTCTATTTATATGCAAAAATCTACAAACTTTCTCATCAAATTTAAACGCTTTAAGATGAACAGCTCTGACGAGGATTTTCTGTTATTTTTTTTTGTTATGTAATTTTTTGATAAATGCATAGGTTCCCTTCAAGTTAATTAAAAATAATTAAACAAATTATCGTTTTTTTTTTCAAATTTTTGTTATTACCTACCTGATATGAAGCTCGTAGGAAAAATTTTGTTCCTAACACGTGCGCAAAGTGTCTTTTCCGCACGCAAACACGTATCCGAACTCCGCTTCGCGTCGTTCGTATAACTGTGTTTGCGTGCGGAAAAGTAACACTTTGCGCACTTGTTAGGAAAATAACTATTTCCTACGAGCGTGCGCAAAGTAGTACTTTTCCGCACGCATTTCGGTTCTCAAAGTTACACTTTTCCGCACTCAGTGCGGATACAGGCCTTATCCGCACTGAGTGCCGAAAAGTAAAAATAATTGTCAAGCAACAATAAGGGCACCTGTCGACGTTGACAAATGATGACAAATTTTTCCTCTGTTTCTATATCAGCCAACATCTATACAAACACCAAATTTAATTAACTTTGACACATTGTCAGATTTGTTCTCTATTGATATGCAAGAATCTACAAACTTTCTCATCAAATTTAAACGTTTTAAAAAAAGGGCTCTGACGATGATTTTCTGTTATTTTTTTTTTGTTATGTAATTTTTTGATAACTGCATAGGTTCGCTTCAAGTTAATTAAAAATAGTTGAACAAATAATTTTTTTTTCTAAATTTTTGTTGTTACCTACCTGATATGAAGCTCGTAGGAAAAATTTAGTTCCTAACACGTGCGCAAAGTGTCTTTTCCGCACGCAAACACTTATCCAAACTCCGCTTCGCGTCGTTCGTATAACTGTGTTTGCGTGCGGAAAAGTAACACTTTGCGCACTTGTTAGGAAAATAACTATATTTCTAGTAACGTTTTTTTAAAAATATATATGTCATTGTTTTTCGTCTATATACACTAATATGCTAATATTTACACAACAAGAAATCCCAAAGAAGCCAAAAAAACCAAAAAACAAAAAGAAAGAAAAAAACATGTTCTGAAAAGACACCATTTTGACAAATAAAGGTATTTTTCACATAATGGAATTTAATAAAAAACTTCCAACCCTTTGTAAACTTATCGAATTTCTACTGCTAATAAATTTCAATAATTTTCCTGAAATTTTTTCAGACTAAAAATATCAACCGACCTTCTTGTTTTTGGACATGAGTATAACACTCAAAAGGGTAACATCCCTTATTGACAATTTTGCCTAATGCCCAGGTATTGTTCCTCCGAATCGACCTGATTTTGACAACTCTCATTATTATTAAATATGTAAGTTACAGTTTTTAGATATTAAGACTAATATAACCAAGTTTAGAGGTTGATTGATTCAACGAAAATAATGCAACTGGTGCTCATTGTGGTATTTTTTCAATTTTAGTCTTTTTATACCTGAAGATGAAGCGTTGAAGCTTCGAAACCGGTAGTACATAAATAAAGAATTTTTGGGATTTTCAAGACTATTTTTCTTCAAACCTATCATCTGCCCAAAAAATGGACCACATACAATCCTTATATTATGTGTGTAGACCATAATAAATAGGTAAGTTGGAAGTAAGTGGCTGTAAGGCATAATTCTTGTGTGAATTAAATTGTATCAAATCTTGTTTTTTTACAATAATTAGCTAGGGTTCTTTTTATCCTACAATCTCGGATATAGTTGTTAGTTATCCATTGTTTTAGACTAGTCACTCTTTTGGTTTTGTATTGTGTGTTACTATCTCATATTGTTTCTAGTTCTGAGTGCAAGCTGGAAGCTGGCCCATACGTAATTTATATTGTCATCAAAGAGAATTTCTTCCCAGTTGATTTGCGATATATAATTGCAGCGTCAGTTTTAATAGTTTGTGTTAGGTCCGATCGTCACGGCCGAATAACGAATATTCGGCCGGTCCTAGGTTTGGTTTCTTGACCGAATATTCGGCTAATACGTATTGTTGGTCGCATGTTGCATAATTTCTTAGGCTTTTTCAATGTCATTGGGTTTTCTTCTGTTTTAAAGGTTGGATTTTATTTCTATTGATGTGAATTCCTGTGGCGACTTGTGTGCACTTGCATTTGTGTGTTTGTGAGTGATTGCCGAAAGCCTTTCACTGCTGTCCGAATAACGAATATTCGGCATTTACTCAAAAGTGGCCGAATATTCGGCAAACCGAATACTCGGTGCATCTTTAGTGATAAGGTGTGTTTCATTAACTATGACCAGATCCAAGAGTGATGGGGTTTCAATCTCTGTGTAACAGGTTGGTTTAGTGATGATCTGCCTCAACCCTCTATAGACCTAGATCCGTCAATAACCATGAAATTCTGGGAAGATTGAAGTCACCAGCTATAATAGAATTTTGGTGGTTAGCAGCAAGACTTGTCATAGTATTTTTGAAGGGTTTTGGATCATCTAGCATGGAATCATTTGGTCTGTACCAAACACTAGAACGAATGTGAGATTCCTAAATGTTATGTTCAATGCCAGTATGTTAATGTTCCCACAATCAAAAATAGTTAGGTTGTTGTAAAGTTATTTCGGATATCTTGGTCGAGGTAAATGCACACTCTCCCACTTCAGCTTAGTCATTCTTCATTGTACTCTCTCAATGCACTCTATGTCTTAGCTAATAAAGATTCCACATAGGTTTTGCATATTTCACTCATTTTCCATAGCTGTGTCCAGTCTTTGATATTGTTTAGGTCACTCTGAATAGCAGCATCTTCAGAAAGTGGATTTCCATAAATGTTTCCATATTTGGCAAAAGATGCTCTTGTAAAAGTGTGGGACCCACATGCACCTAAAAAGTTCTTCCTGTGAGGAATCCTTCAATCAACTAGAGTGTTGCACCTAACTTCGAAGCGTTCGACTTTATGAATTAGGAACTGTGTTGGTATTTTGTCAAATGCTTTTTGGTTTGGAAGTCAAGATAAATCCCATCGATTGGTTCGTGGTTGTCATCAGATAGTCTCCAATGGTTGAGTCTTGTTAGAAGATTATTAAACGTCGATTGCCCGGGAAGAAAACCGTGCTGTTGATCAGAGGCCAGATTCTATTTTATAAGTCGAGTAGAAATTCATATCGAATTGTCAAAATAGCGATTCTATTTTCCGAATTTTCCATACCTATTACACGGTACGTCTGGAGCTGTCGTATTCGATATCGAGACAATTTGACTCGTTAAACTGATAGGTCCACAGTTTTCTACATGCTGTTTATTTCTTTTTTTTGTAGATAGGCGTCACTACTGCTTTTTTACATGCTGCAGATAATTCCCCTGTACTCGCTACGTTATTGAGCATGCATGTGTAGTGAGTGGCCCTTTCAGCACCTGGATACAGTTCTTGAGGAAGACGGGAGTGATTTGCTCGAGCCCTGGACTTGATGATAGTTGAGGGATTTTACTGCAGTTTTAACTTTTTCCGGAGTAAGCACGATATTTTTTAATTCGGTTGTAGCATATGCATGTCGTAGTGTGGGCAGGAGTGTATTGTATTCGGGCTGAGCACTGTGAAAACCTTTTCAAACTCTTCTGCATTATCTTGATCTGGTATTAGTGGTTTTTGTGGTATTGTTTTATCAATTAGGCTAAATTTGTGATGTTTTGTGTTGTTATGTTCATAGGTTTTTCTAGCTGATACTATGCATGCCTTGGTCTTGTTGCTTTGCTGCGGTATTTTTGATAGCTTGCTTCAGATTTGTTACTTCTATATGTATGTATGCCAATAGCCGATTTGATAGCTGATGGTGAGGTAAGCATTTTCTCATTAATGATTTTGTTTTAGCTTTTAAATAGAGAAAATAACGTGGGTACAATAACATAGCTCTGTTTAACGCCTGTAGTTATTTGAAGAGACTCTCCTTGTCCATCCTTGCTCAGGACGGATGCATTCATATTATAATGCAGCAGGCGGAGTAACTGGATGTACTTTTAGCAAGTATCTATAAAGATATTCCTTTGTAGTTTCCACATTGAGCCTTATCTCCCTTTTAAAAATTGGCGTAGGTTTGGGCATTTAGTGTGGGGCCTTCTGGTTTAAAGAATTCAGTGGGAATGCCGTCAGTACCAGTACCAGCTGACTTATTGTTGTCTGATTGTCTTTTCAACCTTGTCTAATTTAGGACCCTTGCTCCTTGGGATTTTCTTGAATTCTGTATGTCCATTCAAAATGGGGTAAATTTTCTATAAGATCTAAAATATATTTCAACAAATGCATAAAAACTGACCATTGCCTATTTATAGTTGCTGGACCGGTTTGAAAAACATCCAACCACAGAAAATCAACTTTAATCACAGAGTTATGGATACACGTTTGTTCAGCACAACGTACAAATCTACTCTTTTTGTTATTAATTTTTAATTATTATCAAATAGCTCATCATTACCTGTTGCATGTTTCTCATAGCCACTCTGATACTCTTCCCGGTATCCTGATCTTCCTTCTGATCGCCATCACCTTCATCGGAACTACTATCCGAGCTACTCGAGCTGCTGCTTGATGAGTCACTACTGTCCGCCTTCTTTCGCTTCTTCTTCTTTTTCGAACGCTTCTTCTTTTTCTTATCTTTTGACAAACTGAAAGAAGAAAGCAAACATAAAAATAGGAACAAAAAAAAAAATCAGAAACTTTAAGACAAATTACAGATGTAGATGTAATAAACAACAGCTAAAAACAAATACAAATATAGTCCTAAAGCTTCTGTATAAGTACATAATCTAATCATCTCAAAACGTGCCCGAAAATAGGAGTTTATAAATAAGTTTACCATAAGAATATTACAGTAGAACTGCCATTTTCAGACACCTCCACTCCATAAAACGGACACCTCTATGTAATGGACGATTTTACTTTGAAGTAAGTACAATACGATTTTGTTAATACATATTCACACTTCTAAATAACGGTTACTCCATACAACTGACATATTATAGATATCAAAGGCTATTATAGATCATGTTCAATCTCTACAAGAAATTAATTCTGTAAACAATACGGTAAACGATGAAGCTAACAATAATTCTAATGGTATAACTGAGTCTATGAGTAACAGGATGCCGCATCATAGGGGTCATAGGAAAAATATTAAAGCCAACAATGCCTCACTTGAAGGATTTTCGAAGAGTCATATTTCTACTGCACATCAGAAGAAAATCAGTATAACGGGCACTAATAATGGTCTTAAGGGACTCACTGCAGCTGTTGAATGTACTTGGTTCTATATCAGTAATTTAAATGGTGAAACATCTGAGCAAAGTGTGAGTGTGATCGATCATTTAAAAAAGTGTTCAGTTGATGTACTTTCATGCGAGAAGGTACAGGCTATTAAACCTGAATACGAAAGAAATTTGATTGATGATTCCAATTGGTTAGTCAATGTAGCCGTCAGACCGTATATATTTCACAAAAATCCGACGCGTCGATTTAATGGCAGGACACGAAATTTTAATGGTTTCTTCTCTTTTGTCCCCAATCGTAGAAATTTTCGTCAAGCCAGCCAAACGAGGCACGGTTACTAACATGTTATTACCAGAACGCGCGGGGGATAAGGACAAAGCTCAAGGAACTTTCCCGAGCATTGCTGTTGGATGAATATGGTGTGGTTATGCTCTCAGAGACCTGGCTCTTTGGCGATATTTTGAATGATGAATTGGGATTTAATGATTATTTTGTGTTCAGATGTGATAGATCGGCTGAAACTAGCACTTTTAAACGAGGAGGAGGAGTTCTTATTGCAGTGGATAAAGCTATTTCAGCAGTGCAAGTACATACTTCTATTAATTATCTGGAACAATTATTTGTAATACTGTCTATCAAGGGAAGAAAAATTTTGTTAAGTAACGTTTATATACCTCCTCAATCTTCAGCAGAGATCTATGAAGCCTACAGTCAATCAGTTGAGGAAGTTTTAAGCAAGATCAACTGTGATAGGATCTGTTTGTGTGGTGATTTTAATCTTCCTGAAATCAAGTGGCCGTGTGATGACAGGGGTGTCTCAGTGTGGAATGGTATTTCACCCCAGGCCTCTGTGATTGTTGATTTTATGGCCTACCTAAATTTGTTTCAAATTAATAATATTCCAAATGCTTTGGGATCTGTGCTGGACCTTATCTAGTAGTCCACTATTACCATGTGATAAGTATCACCCAGCCTTATTATTTGAACTGGACATGTCTGTGCCCAATAGGAATAGTATGTCTTTTGATTATAAGTATTTTGATTTCCAGCATGCAAATTATGTCGAACTGAACAATTTCTTGGGATGCTTTGATTGGGATAGTATTTTGAATGTAGAAAATGTTGAGATAGCGGTTCGAGAATTCTATTATATTCTCTATAGAGGTATTGAAATGTATGTTCCAGAAAAAAGATCTAAAAATAAGAGGTTCCCTGGTTGGTATAGTGATGAGCTAAAATCGACTATTCTAAATAAGAAGAGGGTACATACATTATGGAAGAAAACACATAATACGCAATTTTATGGGGAGTTTTGTGATTTAAGAAGACAATGTAAAATTTTGATAAAACAATGCTATGATTGCTATGTCATTGATGTTCAATCTAGTATTATCAATGATAGTGGAACGTTCTGGAAATTTGTAAATGTGAAAAATAGTAACTATGACTTGCCAAATTGTATGAGTTTGAATGGTAAAACCACACATGAGCCCCAGGAAATTGTACAGTTCTTTGCGGAATTTTTCGGGTCTGTTTATAGGAAGATAGACTGTGGTGTACCGGAGGTAAATTGTGATAGAACCCTTGATATTAATACTTGTAATATAAATGTAATGGATGTATTCAACTCGATCGTAAATATTAAAACAAATCTATCAGCTGGTCCTGATGAATTACCTGTACAACTTTTTAAGGAGTGTAAATATATATTGTCTGAAATTCTAGTAAAATTGTATAATGTATCTTTGTCATCTGGAACATTCCCTTCACCATGGAAGGATTCTCGAGTAACTCCAATTTTCAAGAGTGGCGACAATTCTTTGGTTGATAATTATAGGCCAATTTCTAAGTTTAGTATTATCGCAAAGTTATTCGAATCAATAGTAACTAATAAGATAGCTCCTTTAGTGTACAGGGTGGTTGATTTTCGATAGTTTTATAGGGTACAGCTAAAATGGCCGAAGCTACTGAGAAACTGATATATGCGTCCCGTCCTCTTTTTTAGTGTGTCATTTGATGGTGTAGCCAGATCTTGGCCAACAAGTTTGGTTTGCGAGGTACAGGGTGATTTTCAAAATCAGCTGTTTTTTATAATCCTCTATAACTCCTTATCCTAGGGAGATATAGAAAAAGTGCAAAAAAGGGAAAATACGTCTTTTTTTACAAAGAATCCAGTGGCGTACTTAGAAAAAATATGGGGGCTTTATCTTCTGAGATATTCGAAAAAACAAAGATTTTTCAAATGGAACACCCTGTATCTTATTGGTTCAGTTGTTTAAGAAAAAAATTGCGAGTTCAACGATATATAACACATGATATTTTGTTTTGTCCTAAATGGCGAAAGTAACAAAAAACACTTTTTTCCACTATACCAATACAAAAATAAATTTATTTATTTATTTATTTATTTATTCATTACAAACTCTACAGATTTACATCCAGTTACAGAGTAGGGTAGAAGACTAACCTAAGTGGAAGCAAAAATATAAAGTAAAGAGTCATCGAGAGAGTAACTTAACATTAAGAAGATGAAAATGGAAAACTAACCTACAAATGTCACTCAAAAAACGAACTCAAGTGTATTGTGTGCAGGGTCTGTTTTGGTGTTTTGCACATCAGCTGTTTCGAAAGGGATTTTAAAAACGGAATCAAAATTGATAACAAAACATGCATCTGCAGCGCTGAATGCAAAGAAAAACAACAGACATCACAGGGAAGAGAATCAGAGGACATAATCCTCCAATTAAGAGAAGAAATCAAAAACTTACATGCGAGGCTAGAAGAGGAACGTACACTGAAAAACAAAGAAAAAAAGAAGAGGTCAGAACTAGAGAAAATCAATCAAGATTTAAAACAACAAATAAAACAAAACCTGGAAGATGCAGCGAAAAAAGATGATATCTCTAGACTCGACTCCGAAGTACTCCAACTGAAACAGCAGTTGGATGACATCAAAGAAACAACTAAGCAATCTCTACAACTGTTAGAATTTAAGATTGATCAGAAAGCAAACAAAAACAACATAAACTATAGAACTGAACCTGAATCACCTCGACCACAGCACCCAGCAACCTCAACCACCAAAAAACCACACCAAAAGGATGTCCCCTTCAGACATTCTCGAGACTATCAAGGAGATAATGGGATTGTTATTTCTCCAAGGGGAAACCGCCACTCCTTTAATACAACAAACCTGGCCGCATTTCCTGATCCTCCAAAACCACAAATTGAACAGGATAAAGAAGACAAACAAAACTTCTCATACCAAAGATACCAAAGGCACCAAAGGCGTACCTACAGAAAACGGCTGGGACAAGCAGAAGTTACACCAGAAAATGAGAAAAATGGATTCTCGGGATGCGATCGAAGAGCTTGGCTCTATATAAATCGCATAAAGAGGCATACCACCGAAGAAATGGTAACCACTTATATAAAATCTAAACCAGGCTTCACCAATGAAAACATCGCAGTAAAAGAACTACCTAGCGATCCAAAAAAGCAAAAATGCTTTGTTGTTGTAGCCCCTCTTGCAAAAAAAGATGAACTCTACGACACCAACTTCTGGCCAAACTCTGTAGGAATTAAAAGGTTCAATTTTACCAAACACACAGAATTTCTAAAGGAATCAGGTGATTTTTTCTTGTAAAATCACAAACCCGAGACCAAGAAGTATATAAAAAACAAAAACAAAACCAAAATCCATATCCACAAACACAAATCTTCTCTATATTTTATGCAAATGTTTGCTCTATCAGAAACAAAATTGGAGAAATAGAAGCCATCATAAAATCAAGAACAAAATATGATGTCCTGTGTTTCACGGAGCACTGCATGATGCAGGACGAGCTAGAACATCTCAAAATCCTGGATTACAAAATGGGATCATCCTTTTGCCGGAAGAACAGCAAACATGGTGGATCAACAATCATGTATAACCCCCTATGGGAAACGAAGACACATGATGAAGTCACAAGCCTGTCAGTAGCAGAACATGTCGAAGTAAGTGCCACAGAGATAAAAAGACTGAACCTATTATTATTAACTATTTACCGTCCACCCAATGGAGACTTTAATATATTTTTGAATGTTACAGATAGTATTTTGGATGTGTGTCTAAGTCTAAAGAAATATGTTGTGTTGAATGGCGATTTTAACATACATTTTGAGAGGGACTATAACCTTAAACATAAATTCTTAGATCTCACTGAATCATATGATTATAGGGAAAAAGTCTTTGTAAATATTCTTGGAAACTGACAATGCTGAAATGAGTACCACCAAATTTTTTCAGAGATTTCTATCATATCGAGACATTGCACTTCCAGTGACTAGACGACCAAAGAAAAGCACCCAGGAACCCGGAGCTGAGTGGTTTGGAGAGGAACTACAGATGCTGCGA